GTGTCTAAAACTGTTATTTGCAGTATTTTAAATTTAACATTTACATGTATATGATATGATTGATTATTTTTTTTTGTTGTTGTTTGCTATTGTTTGTAATAGCATTTATATGATATGATTGGTTATGTTTTTGTTGTTGTTTGCTATTGTTTGTAATACACATATATATGAATGTATAAAATTGTTTAACATTTCTCCTATGTTATTTGTAAGTTACATTGTTTGAATTTATGTAAAAGAAATATTCATTTCATTAATATTTCTTTTTCTTGAAGAGGGGAAGTGTTATGTATGCAACATATTACATGTATATAGATTATATCTGACCAGTTGGTATTTCCAATATTGTCATTGTTCTATTTTTAGAACATAAACTACATGTATGTACTAGAACGTTCTTAACTGTTGTGGAAATCTCATGCATTATATTTAGATAGAAATTTCTGGAATGATCTTTATTGTTGAAGTTGCTAGATTATGATTACTGTAGTAAATGGAAGACTATTCTAGAAACTTCTTAGTTAATATATATAAGGAGACATTTTTCATTACTCTTATCTTTAAGTCATCAGTTATCCTTTTTAGTCATCAGTGATCTTTTAAGTCATCAATATATTTGGAGTATTATTTAACTTGGAAATTAAGTGATTTATTGGAGCTTGGATTATTAATTATTCTTGTGGATTTTATTGTGGGAATTTATTCTAAAGTGTTCTTGGATTTAACTTGGATTTAACTGTGCTATTGAAAAAGTATCATTCCAGGATCAGACTAGACATTTGTAATTTTTATTTCGACTTCAGGTATTTGTAAAGATAATTTGTTATTTTATTTTTCTTTAATAATTTTTCTGTAATAAATTTGTTATTGTTACAAGTTTGTTGCTGGCTTTTCTTTCTTGTTACGCCTGGCTCGTAACACATGATTAAAGTAACTGTGTGAATAAATGTTAATTTTTAACAAAAATTTCACAATTTAGCGATTTTTTTCGCAATTTCCATGGTATCGAATCCAACCAAAATTCAGGGAAAAAATTGTAAGCTTTAATTTGAGTGAGATAAGTATGATTGACTGTTGTTTCTAAAAGTAATAATCAGTTTTATCTGTGAGGAATTCATAAATTAACACATATTTTATTCGTTTCAGTGTTCGAGCAAGAGGTATAGCATGTTTGACGCCATGTTTTGGTTCTCGAGATGAAGGTATTGCTGGAATATTGAGAGAAATTGTCACACCACAGGTTACAGCTACTGGTCGACCAAATCAACCAAGACTTATAAAAACACCTGGGGCAACTAGAGGTAAACTTGTTTCCAATTTTCTTATTCAATTTTTGAGCCAGTGTTTGTTTGAATTGTACACATGAGCCATCTCTGGTAGTCTGAATACAAATTTATTCCTCAAAATTTAAGTATATTTATCTCTTTTTTTGCCTTACACAATTACATTCTGGGTGGTTTTTATTAATACATGTTTGTTTTTATTGCAATTTCCAGGGCAAGACACTGTTACTATAGCTGATGAAACCTCACAGAGGTCAGAGGTCACAATAGCTCAACAGACCATAGAGGGTGCCAGCACTGTTGACAGAAGTGCAGAGGGTGGGACTAGACCTAAGGACACGCCCATGCATCATGTGAATCTCACACCCGGAGTCAACCTCAGTATGTGATATAATTATGAATGATTATGTATTTTAGTTAATGTGTCATTTCAACATTTAGTCAAGGGATAAAGAAGAAGAAATGCATAAAATGAGTTTGTTTTATTAATATGTATGTCAAATTTGATGCTTTACGTCTGCCGCTATTTATTTTACATACTCGCGTACCATATTTCTCTTTATGTAGGCCCCCAATGGCTATGTAAAATGTCATCAGGGTGCTTTTATACCACAGCAAATTTTTAAAACTATCACGGTAATCCTTTGGTGTCATGTAAATTATTGATATTGGGAGCCCTTTAAAGGAGACCAACTTGGGTATTTCCATGACAACAATGGCCACCTGCCTGTAAGTTTTCCTTGTTATTATACAGCGTCTGAAATATAGATGAAATAAAAACTATAAATGTTATTTCAATATACAAGTATTTACATTACTTTTTAGCTCGACTTTTCTATGAAAAGGGGAGCTATCCTACTCGCCCCAGCGTCGGCGTCGGCGTTGGCGTCACACCTTGGTTAAGTTTTTCGTACCACCCCACTTTATTTCAGAAGTATTACAAGTATGGCTTTGAAACTTACCATACTTGTTCACCATCATAACCTCCATCTACAGACAAGAGTACATAACTCTGTCAAGGTTTTTGACAGAATTATGGCCCTTTTTTGACTTAGAAAGTGTATTGAGCTTGGTTAAGTTTTTTGTACCACCTCACTTTATTTCAAAACCATTGGAGGTATTGCTTTGAAACTGACCATACTTGTTTACCATCACGACCTTCATCAACAGACAAGAGGACATAACTCTGTCAAGGTTTTTGACAGAATTATGCCCTTTTTGACTTAGAAAATACATTGAATATGGGTAAAAATCCACTTATTGCCTTAACCCTTTGAGATATTGCTTTGAAACTTTTAATGCTATTTCACATCATTACCCCCATCTGTACGCAAGAGAAGGTAACTCTGTCAAGGATTTGTTTTAAAAATTAAGGCCTTTTATCGACTTAGAATCTTGGTTAAGTTTTTAGTACCAGTCCACTTTTTGACTGAACTGTTTGAGATATTAATTTGAAAGTTGGAATACTTGTTTACAATCATGATTCCCAAACATGTCCAGGAGAAGGTAATTCTGTCAAAGATTTTATTTGAATTATGGCCCTTAACTGTCAATGTTTTGTATTACTGCAAAAACTTTTTTTATTGGCAAGCAATAAAAAAGTCGAGCGCGCTGTCTTACGGACAGCTCTTGTTATTACATATATTTCAGATCTGACAAACAGTAAAGGTGTATTCTCAATGTTACGTAGTAGATTGAATGATAGTAAACAGAATGTTAGAAAGGCGGCAGTACAGGCTCTAGAGGCTGCAGTGAGATTCGAAATGCCTAACTTCACAAAAGAGGTTGATAATAGTTTCTTGTTCTGTAATACATTTCCTCAGTTTGGTTTCAACGTTTCTAACTTACCCGATTAGAACTTACCCGATTAGATTTGTAAAATGGACCTGTCCTATTTTGAATTTGGAACTATCAATCGATTTGGGGTGTTTCATTTTCTAAATTCTGATGCATGGAGTAAGTAGGCAACAATAATTAGTTGCAGGAGACTGCAAGGAAATGTGGCTTACAAGGTTACTAATAGAGGATGATGTCAGGTACCCCTTTATGTATTATTAAAGGCTTGTAGGCACCTGTGTAGAACAGGAAACCTTCTGTAAGCTAATTGAATAGCTTCATTTCATGAAAGTATCCATAATCCTATGTCTCTGTAGGAATTCAAACATACTGTACTGAGGGGCAAAAAATTCCAAGCTAGCAACATTAACTATTTGGCCACAACCTGATATTGTAAGCTTAGAGGCACAGTGTTATATAAAATATGTTATTTCTAATGCTTCATTTATTTTGCAGAATTTAGAAGCGCTAACAAAACACTATAGGGATCCAGTGCTGTCTGTAAGGAAGCAGGTGTTTCAATCATTGACAGATTTACTGATGGACAATCCTAAAGATACTATACTGCAGAGGTAATATGTAATTTCCTTTTAAAATTTGCTGTATGAAAAGGCAACATATAGGGGTTACTTTTGTTGGTGACGTGTCTTAAGGCTTGTCCGGAGCATAACTCAGTCTTTATAAGTTGGAATAACTTCAAACTTGGTATGCATGCTTCTTTTAATAACCCGAAATGCAGTCAACAAGAACCAGTACTCTGCACTTCTTTTTAGTTCGACTATTCGATAAGAATAAGTAGAGCTATTGTAGTCACCTGAGCGTCCGCGTCGGCGTAACCACTTATGTTAAAGTTTTTGTAATAGTTCAAATATTTTCAGAGTCAATTGATATATGGCTTTGAAACTTTGCACACTTGTTCACCATCATGACCTCAACTTGTAGACAGGAGGAGGTAACTCTATCAAGCATTTTGATAGAATTATGCCCCTTTTTCGACTTAGAATTTACGTTAAAGTTTTTGTAATAGTTCAAATATTTTCAGAGTCCATTGACATATGGCTTTGAAACTTTGCACACTTGTTCACCATCATGACCTCAACCTGTAGACAGGAGGAGGTAACTCTATCAAGCAATTTGACAGAATTATGCCCCTTTTTCGACTTAGAATTTATGTTAAAGTTTTTGTAATACCTCAAATATTTTCAAAGTCCATTGACATATGGCTTTGAAACTTTGTACACTTGTACACCATCATGATCCCAAACTGTAAACAGGAGGAAGTAACTGTATCAAGCATTTTTTTTACTATCAAGCACTAAGAATAGTCGAGCGTTGCTGTCCTACCGACAGCTCTTGTTTTTTGAGTTATTGCCCTTTGTTAATTTCCATACTTTAATTTTGTCCGGGCCATTTCTCCAAAACTATAAAAGCTATTGACTTGAAACTTCAGAGGATGATAGATTTCATTGAGAAGAAGTGCAGTGCATAAGAACTTGTAATCTGCACTTCTTGATTTTTGAGTTATTGCCCTTTGTTGATTTCTAATTACTTAGTAGGCTTGTCCAGTAAAAAATTTTCATAGTATTTTTATTTTTGATACTATATCAGTTTTATTAATCCTAATGTTACTTATTACAATCAGTTCAAATGCCACTAAATTCAAGGTACATGTACATTGTAAGAGCGGTGTTTATAAATAACCTATATTTAAGAAGGAAATGCCTAAGTGACAGCTATACTGTTCACAAGGCAAAACATCTGACTCACGGAGTTCTAGTTTATATTTAGTTCAACTAAGAATAGGGAGAGCTATTGTACTCACCCAGGTGTTGTTGTCAGTTTAATGCCTTGGGTTTTCCATGCAAGTTGGTATCTCCCAAATTGCAGAAAGGAATGGGTTAAATCTGCACACACATATTTGAGAGCATAATATGTCAATTTTCAAGGCCCATAACTTTAACATTGTTTTTACAGAATTATGGCTCTTTTTTTAATGAGAAATTTATTGTCCAGACTCTTGTTTTACTATCAAGCGCCAAGAATAGTTGAGCATGCACTCGTACTGACAACTCTTCTTGTTTATTTTGTTAGAAAATTAATCAAATATTACACAAGTGAAATACTTATATAAATTCAACAGTGATATATAAAGATAAGATTAAAATAAAATGAATTAATTAATGAATATTTCAGTAATTGGTTACTGGCAGCACTTCCACTCGTAATGGACCGAGAAACAACAGTATCAGAGAAATGTATGGATACTTTAGAAGAAGTATTAATCAGAAACATAGTGGCATACCAAAGGTATATATTGATATGAAATAAGAATTACTGTGACCATTACAGTCTCTACCATCATGACCATGATATGGATTAAATATTCCCAACAGACTAACTCATTTGCACTGTTAATAAGTGAAACAAGAATCTTGAATCAGTCAACATTCACAAGTAAACTCAACAAGTCAGCAATTTAGTTACAATTGTCACACTTTACTTTGACAGGAAACCTATTAAAATGTATTTTGTTACTTTAACTTTATCAGATTGTTAATTGCTGTAATGAAAGAAATACAACAAAATCATAATACAAAGAAAAATTTTACATAATTATGGAATATTTTCATAATATTGAAGGATTGAGCAAATGTATCCTTGTGGCAGAAACTAGTTAACTGAAAATGATCACTCAACTTAAACGTTATTTTCTTTTCCTGTTTGACAAGGGCTTTACTATGTTTTGAGGAAGGATATATTTAAGTACGAGGCAGAATGAAGTATAAAACATATTACCAAAAGAAGCTTACTAGTCTGTGCCACTTTGCAGGAAATTTTACCCAGATATTGAGTCATATTTGAAACATGCTTTTTCTAGCTAATGTTTATTAACTGCATATATAATTGTATTTTAGGTCAAAGTCTGACCGCCATCAACTAGCGTGGGACCTACTTCATATAATAGCACTGCCTGAAAATGTTGATAAAAGGTTTGTATGTTGTTAGAACAGTAAAAAATTAAACACTATATCAATGTTGATAAGATAATTATGATGAAAACTTTTATCAGTGTTGTGTTCATTTTTTGACCAAAATAAAAAGTATAGAGCTATATCTAATGAAACATTCATGTATATAGAAAATATACAAACAGTAATAATGTGTTGTTTCAATTATCTTATGGTTGATTTTCAAAAGATTTTTAACTTGTCTGCTATTTAACCTACATGAATATTGTATGTAAAGAGAGAAAAAAAATCTGACCAAAATAGCCTAGGCTACTTTTTAACCATTTAGCAATGATTTTATGCTTGTGCAATTTGCTCCCAATGAAATAAACTTTTTTTTTTCCTACAGGTATTTTTTAAGTTTTCTTTTTCAAAATTGTAAACTAAATGGCTTTATACTCCTTAAAGCAGCACACCTCCAGATGAGCCAAAATATTTCAAGAAAATCAATTTTGAGGAAAATGTACTAAAGTTTTAAGAAAGGTAAAAAGCATTCAAGATCCAAGTTATATTCTTTATGTTATATGCAGTTAAAGACTGATTTTGCAGTATTTTATCACAATGTTCTACTGTGTTACTAACACAGTAAGGGCTGTTTTTGCATAATGATGACAACTTTTTGGTAATTTTCTTTGATTGTAAGTGCCGATTGCAATATGTAAATTGCTTTATTTGTTCACCTCACAATATTTTACTTATAAATACATTTCCAAAATGTTCATGAAAATTAATATGAATCAGGAGGTGTGCTGCTTTAAAGTACTGAACATTTTCAAATACCATTGTTTCATGGGCCAATTTATTTGTATAATTTAATGAAATACTTTGTTTACAACAGGTGATCATCATGTACTAAAACTGTTGTTTTATTTAACAGGAGATATCTACAGAAAGCATGTAGACATTGGTCAAGACAGGGTAAAATCAAGTCTGCACTTATGCAGGCTCTTAAAACTCACATAGGAACATGTAATAATGCTGTAAGTTGTTTTTATTTGTTATCTTTGGCAAGACATAGACTACATAGCAAATTGTTAATATTAACAGAACCGTTTAACAATAATTAGTAAGTGGTTTGTGAAAACAAAAATTGTAAATTTATCAGTTCAAGGATGATGCATTATTGTTTATATTTTTATACATGTTTACCTACATATCATTATAGAATTTGCAAAAGTATTACCATGACTCACTGACCAAGTTACAACCACCAAAGTCAAGGTTGCACAGGTCAAATGTTAAAAAGACATTTCCTGCTCCATAATATACAGACCATTGGGAAGATTTTAAAATAACTTCGCACAAACGATCGCCATCATGACATATTGTGTAGAACTCAATGGTCGAGGTCAAATGTTCTGGTTCATAACTTTTTGAGTGGGTAGATTTTGAAAATTACTTGGACCAAAAGAGCAGCCTCATGACATAACATGCTTATGTTGTTTTACCTCAAAGGTTAAGGTTAATAAAAGGTTAAGATAAAACACATTCATGTCTGCTGCAGTAGGGGATAGGACTGTTCTTCATACTGTTTTGTTAACATAAAAAATTTTTTTTTAGTTGTAATTTTAGATATTTTAAGTAATATCTTCTCTGTGTTATTAACAGGCTGGATGGATGTTGCTAGCCGAGGTAGCTCCAGCAGCTCCTGAGATAACTCATGGTTTCCTTCTAGAGTATTGGCAGAATGAGGGATCACAAGGTTTATTATATCAACTTCTTAACATCAAACATTAGTGCTTGATACTTACCTTAAAGTAATTTTATAGTATTGAAATGATGGTATCTTGTTAGTTCTTTCTTCTGAAATTTACATAATTATTTCATATAAAATATCAGAAAATATCCATATAAAATTCTTGTCCATTTTTCAATACTTTGGTTTAAACATTTATTTAAGCTCGATTGTAAAACAAGTTCTTGCAACTTATATTAATTACTTTTGAGTCTGCTTCCTGGAACCAACCAATACTGGTGGCATATGAAGAAACATGGTTGTGACCCAGTAGGGCTTGAACCCATGATCTCTGGGTTGAGAGGCAGCCACCTTAACCACTAGGCCCCTGCTCCCCTTTCAATACTTTGGAACTTGTTTACAACAATAGTGTCTTAAGAATGAGCATGCAGAAAATCCTTTTAGTGTATTTACTATATTTCTAGAGAAATGTTATGAGACTATGAATCGAGTATTGACTGTAATGAAGTATGTTGCCAAACACATGTCTACACAAGAGAGGGATATACTGATTACAGACCTCAATGACAGGCTGATGAAGTTTGAGTCACCACCTGACCTTATCTCAGTCTCTATTAGCACTTTATCAAAGGTTTGTTAATTGATTAATTCTGAAGTTTTACTTTTGTAACAGATAGATATGAACAGTTTTAGATGTTACAGCCTTACAGGCCTTGTTATATTGATATTAGTCTGGTTGAGATGGTTGAAGCCAAATAGATAGACCCTCACTGCTAAATTGTTTATTTAATTCCTGCTAATGATGTTGAATTATATAAGGATAGAGATCAATTGATTTGTTTTTGTATTACAGATGTACACGTGTATATGTATTTCAATTTCTAACTTATTCAACCAAAAAAGCTTTGGCAGTGGAGCATGAATTGTTTTGGTATGACTATTTGAAGAAAAGTTTCATCTTACCCAGATCCTTAACATTTGAAGTAATTCACTTGAAATTCAAACATCTATGGATCATAGCTGTAGGTTACTTATGTTAGTTTTGATATATGTCATATAGATAAGATATAAATACCCTAGTGCATTGCATCAATATTTAAATTGCATAGTCTTATTTGGTTATTTAAAATTGGCCTCTTCCTTTGACTCATTTTGTTATGAAATGCATTATTCTACTTCAGCTATGTACTGAGCAAGCGAAGGCGTTGAAAAAGCCGTCATTGGAGACTGAGTGGTCGTGGCAACTACTAACAACTTGTGATAAATATCTATCTAGTGTTGTACTGGAAGGACATGATGGTATATATCATTTATATCAGCATTCTAAATGGAAAAATATAAAAATTATTATTAAGATATACATTCTGAATTAAATTAAAAATCATTATTGAGTGGGATTCCTAGTATATAGCCTGACTTAAGGTAAAAGCATATAAACAATTTCATTTTAGGTCGTTTTTGCACATTAAAAATGATTATTCTGGGAAAATGATTTTGAGCTTTTGCACACAAATAATTGGGACGGACGTACATCAAACAATGTAAAAGATCTTGAAAAAATATTAACTGTTCAATCCAAAAGTAGTGGAGTCTCTTTAAATTTGATGCTTAAAATATTTCTCAGATTATAGGTCAATCTAGGCAAGATCACTTATATTGTTACAAATTAATTTATTTTTTTCTAGTTCAATTTTAAAAGGAAACAAAATTGAATTAATAAGAAGTTGAACTGCATATTGTTTTCTTGCTATAACTATCAATTTAATATAATTATCAGTATAATCAGGTCTTATTGGGTGCCTTGTTAAAGTACTGTAAAACTGCTATGTCTCAAACTTCTATTAGTCCATTTTCTCGATGTTTTGAAGTAAAATTAAAGTCCTGATTACTTTCCCTAAATATTCTTTATTAAAGTCTATAAGCTGTAAGCTGGTATAGCTTTTGCTCTTTCCATATGTTACACCTTTTGTAATACACTTGTAAATGTAGACGGCCTGTCTTTAACTTGAGACCATCCGTGAGTCAAAGTTGCAATGTGTCGAAGTTTTTAGTGCAAGTCTCTTCAACTTTGACTTACCGAACTTACCAAAGTTCTAGTGAACTTGATAATAACTATAATTTAATTTGATAATAATTGAAGTGATATAACGCCTGTGTTTTATTGTATCATATTTTGAGGTTTGAAATTGCTGTATAATGATGGTTTATCTTAGTGATATATTTACAGGTGTTGTGAATGATGAGGACAAGGTTGTGAGTCATCTGTTTACATTAGGTGAGGTGGTGCAGCTGTTTCCAGGGAAGGTTCCTAAAAGAGTAAACTTGTTAGTACAGAGTATGATAGCTGCCCCTTGTATAACCTCACCTCCAGCTAGCCAACCACACATTCATACTGGTAATGATTCTAGAATGTTTAGTTCTCTCATAACTGTGATTTTTAGCTCGACTATTTGATAAGAATAAGTAGAGCTATTGTAGTCACCCGAGCGTCGGCGTAACCACTTATGTTAAAGTTTTTGTAATAAGTCAAATATTTTCAAAGTCCATTGACATATGGCTTTGAAACTTTGCACACTTGTTCACCATCATGACCCCAACCTGTAGGCAGGAGGAGGTAACTCTATCAAGCATTTTGACAGAATATTGCCCCTTTTTCGACTCAGAATTTACGTTAAAGTTTTTGTAATAGTTCAAATATTTTCAAAGTCCATCTACCAATAAACATTAAAACATTACAGTTATAAACTTGAAATACATGTAATGTCTACAGTGGTACAAGTTCAAATGAAAAGAAAACAAGATTAGTTGGTTGAGATTCAATGGCTGTCCTGGTAGATTTCATAGAATATGCTGTCTATAAAAATACTGTTCAAAGTTATATTTAATTCTTATTAATTATACCACTAGTCAAACAAGTCTCCCTAGGTACTTGTAAATCCTTATAAAGTGATAAGTTTAGAAAGAAGCACACTGAATTTGATGATTGATTATCTGGCAAACAGCTTCACTTTTATCATTTAGCTTTTTGTCAATAAGTTTTAAATGCTGATGTCAGATTTTACAAACATGCCGACTGATTTGTGTTGATAAAAAAAAATACATAAAAACTAAATTTTGTATCCTGTTCATTTTAACTTTGATAAAAATTTTGCAATGTTATCGGTAAGTCTTTTCCTGTGTCTAGATATTGTCACTAGTATGCAGGGTGCAAAAGAAAAAATCTTGTTAGATTTGTCAGTTTATCAAGTAAATGTTTCATAGACAGTGACAAAGATTGCCAAATGTTGGCAATTGATGAGAGAGATATTATTGAAGGATATATTACCTTATCTGAATTATATTATCTATATACAATTAGATCAGTCAAGTCAAGGAGAAGAAGACTCAAGAGATTCCCAGGGTAGCTCACAGCAGGCGTCACAGCCACTTACACAATTCAGGGGTTGTGTCATGTCTAACAGAATCAGAGCTTTTGCATTTGTTACTCTAGGTAAATATGTATACAGCATTTACAAGTGAAAGGCTATTAACTTTAGAACCCGTTTCCCACTCAAAATTAAAGTAATTATCTGTGTTGCTCAAATGCTTATAAGAAGAAGTCTTTAAAAATAGTTTGTCACAGAGTGAAATATGCAAAGTGTAAGATTTAAAAATTGTCATTTAAATATTGTTAGAACCATAAAATAAAAAATATGTGTATCCAATGATGTTTTTAGAGTCCATATACTATGCTCAAATTTGAAAATATTAATAATTGCTACACAGTCTGTTTATAAATATATGATAATTTATAAACATGTTTTGACTTTACACAAAGTATTATTATGTTTAAAATTCTACACACTATAGGTGATCACAATATGAATATGTAGCATCATTTAAAAAAATGGCAGGTTTTTTTTTTATGGAAAAGACCAACTTTACTTGACCTGCAATAGGGAACTGAGCTTCATATACATAGTTTATTTATTCTTTTGTTCAAACAAGACATATTCAGTAAGAATTCCATAGATTTCAGTAAATTTCTGTGATTAAAATATTTTACTTTAGGATGAGCATAGTGTATCTTTAATATTTGATTTAGTAAAATCATTTATTAATGTAATGTTTTCCTGGACCACACCAATTTTAAATTTTTAGAAATTTTATGAAATTTTTTACCATACTATTTATTTTTGCAGGGAAGTTATGTTTGCAAAATGAAGAATTGGCAAAGAAATGTATAGCTGCATTAGCTAGGGAACTAGAGATATCTAAAGATCCTGCTATAAGAAACAATGTTGTGATTATAATGTCAGATCTATGTGTCAGGTATTTAATGCTTGTAGTTTAATAGCAAAGTGCTGGCCAAAGTTGTTGTTGTTGTCCTGTAGCATCCTTGCTTGATTATATTTTGATAATTTTAAATATATATCAGAAGTTTTCGCTCTTCCTGCTTGGTCAAATATATCTGTTTGGTCCCACTATAAGGCTGCAATAACAAAAATATAGTATAATTCTTTATTACATACCAATTGATAGATCTTCATCAAATTTAGCATGTTGAATACATAGGTAACTCTCTAAATAAAATTTCTTAACATTCATGAAACAATAACTTAATTTTGATTATTATACCAAACTTGATTTATTTACTATATAGCCTTTTGTGATATCAAAGGGTAACAATTTGTAATGTCACATGACAGCATGACTTCAGCCCACTGACATTACCAAACAGCCCCTGTCCTCTGACCCAGTACCTACCGGGTATTAGGTCTTATGCTTAAAATGTGTATCTTGAATATTGATTTGGTTAGTATAATGAAATATATATCACAACACACTTCAGCCCTTGGAGAATGCCTAGGGTTGACATTTTACACCTTGTTGTTGGGGAAAACATTTTATTAATGTTAAGCCCAGTGGGAAATTAAAACTGGCAAGTTTTGGTAAATTGCATTTTCATTTTGGATAATCGTGAGACCCTTTAACATATTTTAATATAACATGGCTGCTGTCACTTTATGAAGAAATCTCACTTTTTTGTGTAAAAAAGGAAGTTTGTTGTATTTATAAATTTGTTATAAATGTTCATGACAGTCTAGGGTTATTTTTTCAAACAACAGTTTATATAGGGCCATATAACCTGTCAAAAATCTTCATAACTAATGATATAAAGTGACATTTGATTTTAGGTACACAACTACTGCGAATGCTTATATATCAAACATTGCATCATGTTTGAAGGATCCGTCACAACTTGTTCGTAAGCAGACTCTAACAGTGATAACTCGTCTGTTACAAGAAGATTATATTAAATGGAAAGGCGCTCTCTTCTATAGATTTATATCTACACTCCTAGACACGTGTGATGAAATTAAAGCTTTTGGTATGAAATAAACTTCATCTACTTGATATTTCTTTTTTCAATAAGTCAAAAATAGTACTAAGCTGGAACAAATTAAATATGTTCTACAGTGGTTTCTTAATCATTTCTTAACTAAATTAATTTTAAAATTTGGTTGTTTTACTAATGTCAGCTTAAGTGTTTTAAATTATATTGTTAATGTGCGGATGATAGTCCATTTATGATTTTCTTCTTCAAGTATTCATTTGGAACATAACACATGCCTTTACAGTCATAAATGTAGGCCACTGACTAAAATTTGTAACTCTAGCATGTATTTCTAATGAATTGCATCATTAAAAATAAATGTTTTGCTGGAAAAGTTGAAACATCAAGCATGTAAAGTATTGTAATTGTAAGCCCCAGATCACAACCCATAACTTTAGCATAAAATGTTGCTGAATTATTAAATTTTATACATGTGTCTTGCCTTACAGCCATGCACAGTATGAAGTCTGTCTCAGTAAATAAGCAAGTTGTCTGCTCTTGTAAAGATCATAGATTTGTTAATTTCTTTTTGAAAGAAGATATGATCATGAGATATTTCTGATTAATGTATTGTTAAATATCATTTATCATGCAGTAGTTAATGTATCAGGCATCAGTTAAAATGACATCACAGTTTGTTTCTCTCTATTTCAGCGGAGTTTTGTCTTCTACATATGTTGATACAGCGAAACCCAAACATGTTCTTTCAACATTTTGTGGAATGTCTGTTCCATTTTAATGATTACAAGAAGCACACAAGTTAGTTAAGCGTTACGGTTTACTCACTTTTACAATACTACTACACATTTATCATATTTATTATGTTTGGTAATACAGGTAACTAAATGTTAATTGGATAAATGACAAAATCTACATTATTTATGATAAAGTAATTGTAATAAGATACTATGTTTTTTATGAGGGATTTTGATGCCCTTACCACTTAGGGCTCATGGGCTTGTAGATCTGCATTGTCTATCACTCTGTCTGTAAACTGACAAAATGGTAGAGTGTTGGGGAATCCATATCTTTATGGACACATTTCTTGACCAATACACTGTCATGTATATCTTGTACTGAAATATTGTAAAGGAATTTTTATTAAATATTTGTAGAATACATTTGAGCCGCGTCATGACAAAACCAACATAGTGCGTGTGCGACCAGCATGGATCCAGACCAGCCTGCGCATCAACGCAGTCTGATCAGGATCTATGTTGTTCGCTTACGAACCCTATTACAAGTAGGGAAACTGATAGCGGACAGCATGGATCCTGATCAGACTGCGCGGAAGCGCAGGCTGGTCTGGATCCATGCGTGTCGCAAACGCACTATGTTGGTTTGTCGTGGCACGGCTCATTTATGGAATGTTATGTTTAATAAAACACATTAGGATACGTGTTGTGACGTTAATACAAGATGGTACAATTACTAATTTTACTATCAGATACTGATGTTGTTGAATTTGTTAAGAATAATTTTAGCAATGATGACATTATAATGAAAAAGTTGATTTTTGTTTTTGTTAAATTTGATTCTATTTTTTGGTTACAGTTTATAACAAATTTACACAGTCAAACAAGGATCGTGAGATGTTTTCATGAATGGAGAAAAGAATAAAGAGTAAGTAAAACATATCACCACAGCTCTGTATGTAATATTATAATATTCTTATACACAGTTTTCTAAGTATGAGCCTGGTATTGCAGATACATTACTACTCATACAGCATTGTAGATACAGTATCACATGTGCAGTTTTTGTGTCGCCTTGAAAATGCGACATATAGGGATTACTTTTGTCGGCGTTGTCGGCGTCGGCGTCCCCTTAAGCTTGTCCAGAGCATAACTCAGTCACTTTAAGTTGGATTGACTTCAAACTTGTTATGCATGCTTCTTTCAATAGCACGAAGTGCAGTGCACAAGGACCGGTACTCTGCACTTTTTAATTTTTGAGTTATTGCCCTTTGTAAATTTTCATACTTTAATTTTGTCAGGACCATTTCTCTTCAACTATAAAAGCTATGGACATGAAACTTCATATGATGATAGATCTCATTAAGAAGAAGTGCAGTGCACAAGAATCGGTACTTTGCATTTCCTAATTTTTGAGTTATTTCCCTTTGTTAATTTTCATACTTTATTTTTGTCGGGGCCATTTCTCCTAATGTATAACAGCTATGGACTTGAAACTTCATAGGATGATAGATCTCATTAAGAAGAAGTGCAGTGCACAGTAACAGGTACTCTGCATTTCTTATTTTTTGAGTTATTGCCCTTTGTTAATTTTCATTCTTTATTTTAACCAGGTCATTTCTCCTCAAGTATGAAAGCTATAGACATGAAACTTCTAAGGATGATAGACTCATTAAAAAAAAAGTGCAGTGTGCAAGAACCGGTACTCTGCATTTCTAATTTTTGAGTTATTATCCTTTATATATTTTCATATTTTATTTTTGTCCAGGCCATTTCTCATAAATTATAAAAGATATGGACTTGAAACTTCATAGAATGATAGATCTTATTGATAAGATGTGCAATGCATAGAAACTGCTGCTCTGCACTTATTATTTTTTGAGCTAATGCCCTTTGTTAGTTTTCGTATTTCATTTTTGTCCTGGCCATTTCTCCTAAACTATATTGTTCACAAGGCGACACATCCGACTCGCGGAGTTCTAGTTACAGATACAGTTTTGTCCGTTGCTGCCGCAGATTCAAATTCCTCCAGAGACTTTGGATTCTCTCATGTGAAGAACCTTTCCTGTAAGCTTGTGTAACATCGATGTTTCTACTCTGGTGCCTGTTTGTGCCTGAAATAATGCATGGAGCGGCACCTGAGGTCTTCCTCCACCAGATATAACAAAATAAAATTAGAAACTATAAAAGAATCACTTCTTTTAATATGAGCATGTAAATCTCAATATGTTTAACAAAAGTTGATATTTGCCTTTTTTTGCACCTTGTTATGTTTAACATTATTGTTGAAGTATTATGAAAAGGGTAGATTCTTGAAGAGTAATGAAAGAAAGATTGGTGAAAATTGTTCTTGGGAGATAACGAGAACTGTTACTTCTTGTACAATTCTCTATTGTTATTAATTATAATTTAATTCTAAACTATCAATTTATGACCCCGTTGAACCAAGAAAGTATAACAAGACTGAAATATAGGGTTGGGCAAATATTTATAGAATCAAAAGTGATTAGCATTTCCCACAATTAGAGAGCAAGGCCTGATGCTGTTGGTAGCTCACTTTTTGTAACTTTGTCATTGAAATCTTTTTAAGGATGTCTTTTGTTGTTGAAACCACTTGTCCCTCACCACTGTGGGTTGGAATCCCAACAGGGATTTATGATAATTTAATGTCAGAAAGCTTTTCAGCTAGCTTAAGGAATGTAGGATATTCTACTTGGGTGCCTATTAGTGCCTGATTTAATGCCTGGAGGGGCTTCCTCCACCAGTAAAACTGTCAAGTTGCCACAATTATGATCTTTCATTGTGATAAGACATAAAATAAAACCCAACCAAAAAAACAATAAAACAAAAAAAAAACAAAAAAAAACATTCTAACTTTAAAACGAACTTCCATATTCAAAGTAGGGCAAAACCCAACTGAAATTCTTCAGGATAAGTGTTCAATTAAATCGAAAGTTTTAGCTTTATAAGATAGTGGATTTGTTTTGTAAATTTTAGAAAGAGGATGACTTTATACAAGTTCCTACTTGAGAACATGACCGATAACCACAGGTTCCAGCTTAAAACTAAACTTACACAGGAGGTAAGTTATTTAAAAAAAAAAGTTTGAAATTTGTCTTGTATTGTTTATATAAAGGATATTTGTTTAGTTCAGTGTACGATCGGAAAATATTTCACCGAGTGAGCACCAAAAGGTATATTTCATGAGTGGCGCAGCCACAAGTGAAATATGAAATTTTGGTGTTCACAAGGTGACATATATTTCAGTCTTACACTAAACTAAACAAATTTTCTTTTTATTATATGCAAAGAAACATTTAGCTTTAACCTAATACTGAATGAAAAGCGCGCCAAATAATAATACAACATGAAGTCATTTACGACATCACGTCATTAAGTTGGTACCCAGTACTATGCACGCTGGTATTTCACTGAAACAATGTAAGGGGCTTAAATTCAAAACAGTGAAATTATCAAATTGATTATTTCACCGTTTAAAACAGTGAAATTACCAGTTTTATATCACTGATATATTTCTACAAACCACCGAAAAGCATGTAATAAACATGTATATTCACTGGTGATTGTGAAACAAGTTCATGATTCCTTCTGATAATCAGGCAAGTGATGTCATATGGGGAAACATAGTCATGAATCGTAGGTGTAGAGGCAAACACCTTAACCATTAGACCACCTCACTTTCTTTTATGTCTGTGACTCCATCTACTGATTGGTTCATTATAAGCACATATTAATTACATACTCTTTAAGTAGTAGAATTCCGTTGGTGAAAAATGAGGTTTAAATTTGGACTGAAATTGTTAAATTGTATTTAAATCAACCAAGTGCAGAGTTTTATGTTATATGCAGATTTCACATGTTTAATGACTGACTGATCAGCAGCAAAATGTAAGTGCCAAACAAACTGAACAGATTGTTTTGTGTAATAAAGTGTGGTCATCAACATTTTTAAGTGCTTATAGCAATAAAGACATAGTTTTCCTTGCACAACACAATTTGTCTATTTTGTGGTTCCTGCCACCTTTTCCCTAAAAGCACTGACATGTGGTGTGGTAAATCGAGTGGCAATGTATATTTGAGCCGAGCCATGACAAAACCAACTTAATGCGTTTGCGACCACCATGGATCCAGACCAGGCTGCGCATCCGCACAGTCTGATCAGGATCCATGCTGTTCACTTATAAACCCTATAATAAGTAGAGAAACTGATAGCCAAAAGCATGGATCCTGATCAGACTGCGCGAATGTGCAGGCTGGTCTGAATCCATGCTGGTCGCAAACCCATTTGGTTTTGAACATGGCGCGGCTCATTTGATGTATTTCTGTATCAAGATACATGTCGTATATTTTGTAATACAGATTCTGGGAGAGACAGTAGATGATATTCTACCTATAAATGATGAGACTAAGGATGTTCTGAAAGATGCTCTAGCTATACTTAGCTGCAAGGTAAATCAGTTCTTATAAAATGTATATGTTGCTAGCTGTTCTAAAAATAAATCTTTAGAACTACAAATGTCTTTGGAATTTTAAGTGAAGGTCACTTTTTTAGACCAACAATTGTGGCATGACTGAATCACAACTCTCTATGAACTTACTCTTTGTAATAGTTGTACAGGCATGGTCAATCTTCAACACTATTGAAGACATTCACATGAAACTTTAAACATGTCTAAAGAATTATCATTGGTCATTATTCATGTCCCATAACTCTTGCATGTATTTTTACTGAATTATTGCCCATTGTGAACATCAAAAAAAAAAGAATTGCATGAAACTTCACACATGTTTGGAATTATGACTGATCAAATTCTATAAGTCTGAAATGTATTTTGATTAAATTGTGGTTCTTTGTGAACTTGGAAAATTTATGGTGAAAGTTTATTATCCAAGGTCGCTCTACAAAACTACTGAAGGTAGTTGACTTTAACACAGTTTAATGAAATGAAAATTTTAACGGTATAGCAATTTATAGAACGTATTTTTATCTTGGTCTAACAATTCCTAGAAAATGCATGTACTTTTATTTGGTTTATCATTTCTTAGAAATTACTTATATTTGGTTTATCATTTCTTAGAAAATACTTTCATTTGATTTAAACTAATTTGTAGAACTATTCCTGGAAACTTCTTTTATTTTATTGGCATGATTTATTTTTAGCTCGACTATTCGATAAGAATAAGTAGAGCTATTGCAGTCACCCGAGCGTCGGCGTCGGCGTAACCACTTATGTTAAAGTTTTTGTAATAGTTCAAATATTTTCAAAGTCCATTGACATATGGCTTTGAAACTTTGCACACTTGTTCACCATCATGACCCCAACCTGTAGACAGGAGGAGGTAACTCTATCAAACATTTTGACAGAATTATGCCCCTTTTTCGACTTAGAATTTACGTTAAAGTTTTTGTAATAGTTCAAATATTTTCAAAGTCCATTGACATATGGCTTTGAAACTTTGCACACTTGTTCACCATCATGACCCCAACCTGTAGACAGGAGGAGGTAACTCTATCAAGCATTTTGACAGAATTATGCCCCTTTTTCGACTTAGAATTTACGTTAAAGTTTTTGTAATAGTTCAAATATTTTCAAAGTCCATTGACATATGGCTTTGAAACTTTGCACACTTGTTCACCATCATAACCCCAACCTGTAGACAGGAGGAGGTAACTCTATCAAGCATTTTGACAGAATTATGCCCCTTTTTCGACTTAGAATTTACGTTAAAGTTTTTGTAATAGTTCAAATATTTTCAAAGTCCATTGACATATGGCTTTAAAACTTTGCACACTTGTTCACCATCATGACCCCAACCTGTAGACAGGAGGAGGTAACTCTATCAAGCATTTTGACAGAATTATGCCCCTTTTTCGACTTAGAATTTACGTTAAAGTTTTTGTAATAGTTCAAATATTTTCAAAGTCCATTGACATATGGCTTTGAAACTTTGCACACTTGTTCAACATCATGACCCCAATCTGTAAACAGTAGGAGGTAACTCTATCAAGCATTTTGACAGAATTAAGCCCCTTTTTCGACTTAGAATTTACGTTAAAGTTTTTGTAATAGTTCAAATATTTTCAAAGTCCATTGACATATGGCTTTGAAACTTTGCACACTTGTTCACCATCATGACCCCAACCTGTAAACAGGAGGAGGTAACTGTATCAAGCATTTTTTTTACTATCAAGCACTAAGAATAGTCGAGCGTTGCTGTCCTACCGACAGCTCTTGTTGTAGCATAGGTTAGCCACACTATTGTTGTCTCTCCTTATAAAGTGGGCTGAAAAGTTGTCGGATATGACAATCAATGATAATAAAAGTTTATATTTGAGAATTCATTGTATTAGATGTGAATATTTCATTAACCTGTTGTTTTTTGGGTTTTTTCTGAAAGAAAATACCAGTCTTGAGATTGTTGAATATAACTGGGCAGGTGTGAATAATTTCTTATATGCCCATGTCCTACATTTCTCTAAAGATTTTCAAATAAACTGTTACAGGACAGTTCAGAGTTGTTATTAAGTGCCCTGGCACATATTGTAGGGTTTGTGATTTAGTAAATCCATATTTTGTTGTTGTTACATGAATAAGTACATGTAGTTGAGAAAATTCTTCTGTGCACAGTCCTCGGACATTTCTGAAGGGATTAACATATAATTATAGGCAGAAAATTTTGGTTTGTGATGAAAAAACCTGTCATTTGTTATACCTGGTATATGAAATTAGACAGATCAATAACGTTGGTTTTGAAATACTTGGAAAATACCTAGGCAATTTGTAGACATCAATGGTTATTCCTTCCTGCTTTGATAAATGATATATACTCCACTATCTCTTTCAGTGGTTATCACATCCTTGCAAACATGCTATATATGAGCCGCATCACGACAAAACCAACATAATGGGTTTGCGACCAGCATGGATCCAGACCAGGATCCATGCTGTTCCCTTACAAGCCTTATAACAAGTAGAGAAACTGATAGCGAACAGCATGGTTCCTGATCAGACTGCGGGGATGCGACTGCGCGGATGCGCCGACTGCGGATGCGCAGGCTGGTCTGGATCCATGCTGGTCGCAAACCCATTATGTTAGTTTTGTTGTGACGCTGCTCAAATGTATCTTCAGTACACTTTTATTTCATTCATTTGACACTGAAAAGAATTACCTTTATTTATAAGAGTAACCTTTATTTCCAGGAGATAAAATTAACCTCCCTGAGGAAGCTGACAAATGAGAAAGTTGTCGGTGACAGTGAGGAAATGGCTGAGGCTGTAGCAGCAACAGCTAAGAAGACAATTATGACCAAGGTTCGGTAACTTACTATATTCATCTTTATATCATTTGTTTGATCTTAAAAATTCCCTTACTGGTACCTCATTTTATCTTAAATATTCCCTTACTGGTACCTCATTTTATCTTAAATATTCCCTTACTGGTACCTCATTTATCTTAAATATTCCCTTACTGGTACCTCATTTATCTTAAAAATTACCTTACTAGTACCTCAAAGGGTTTGATTCATAATTCATAATGTTGAATTTTATTTTGTTAGGAAGTTTTAATGACAATAAGTTGTTTAAACCTTATATTGAACTACAGTGATTCTACGCTTATTCAGACTTGAGCTTTTGATTCATTCCCAGAAGAAACTTCAGTATTTCACCCTAAAAAAACTTTTGGTAAATATTATACAGTAAAAATGTCACTAAAATTTAACAAATTTTAAAAATTTAAAGCTTACAAATTAGTTTTCTGTAATATTTCTACAATGTATGTCTTTTGAAGTAATTTTATTTGATTTATAGGTTTTGAAAAATGATGTTGTAGAAAACATAGTGCCTGTAGTGATTTCTCTGAAACATAAGGTAAGTCATTCATTATATAGAAGGCAAATTTTACAGTTATACTTAAAGGGCATCCACTCAGATTTTTTGACATACCAGGACTGGAAGTGTTTTTGAGATATCTGTTCTATTTGATGTGTATGTGACCAGTAACAATGTTCGGACATTTTGCTGTGATGACACATGGAGCTCATGAAGTCCTGTTAAAAAATTGTGACCTTTTTAGTCTGTGATACCATTGAAACTAAATTTCTGATGGTGAATATCTAACATAAATATAAGGAGTATAAACATGTATTATATATAGAATGAAAATAAAAGTATGGGACATTATTATATACAGTATGTATGTTTAAAATGTGAAACTTATTTAATGGCATACTTACAGTTAGAGGAGAAGAGATCTCCACTACAGAAGGACTTGTTGTTATATCTACGGGAACTTATGAAGGACTACAAGAAGGAAGTTAAAGGTAAACATATCTCTACTCTCAAAAATATTAAATTTTATATCCCATTATTTTATGCAGCAGATTATCTTACTAATATACATACTATTATCCTGTTACATCTTCAAACGGGGCGTCCGTGGCCAAGTGGCTTCAAACCACTTGCCCCTAACCGCTGTGGGTTCGAAGACAGACAGGGACTTTGGATTCCTTCATGTGAGGAAGCTATCCAGCTAGCTTATGGAACTTCGGTAGTTCTACTCAGGTGCCCGTTCATGCCTGAAATAATGTACGGAAGGGCACCTGAGGTCTTCTCCACCAATAAAGCTGGAATTCAAATGATATTACATCAAAGTGTTATTACATAGAGGATATTTGTTTGTTTTGCATGTAAAATTGAAATATAATTTCACTGAGTGAAAATATAATAGCTGGTGTTCACGAATGAAATATATTTCAATCTTATATGTAAAACAAATAAATTTTCTTTTTATTTCATGCTTTTTAAGTGATTTTAAGTATTTTTTTACTGGTTTTGCTGCGTAAAGTCACGCATTCTCCTTTGTGACGTCATCACATCATGACGTCACATAATCAATTTTGAAATATAGGTCTGTTAAATTTCTTTAATTTTGTTACGTTTTTAACATGATGTATGATGACATCGATTTTCTTTTCCTAAAGAAGCAAAATTTACACACGACGGCATTAATTTCTGCCTGTTATTTCATTTAGTTATGATTTTCTTTTCATCCGCATTCAGATATAGTCCGGCTACAGTGAAAATTATATTTTATAAATTTCACTAGTGGTTTATCAGAATATAATCATCTGATATATTACAATAAAACACTGGAAAGCATGAAATAAACTAGTATAATATCGTTTTTATTAAATGGCTTTATTACATTCCTGTGCCGCGGTTTATGTGATCAGATAAAAGTAATTATTTTTTATAAATATTACAGAGGTACTGTCTGCAGATAGAAGATTAGCTACAGAGATAGAGTTTGACTTAAGAAAGTTATCAGAGGAGGAAGAACAAGGACAGAATGAAAGAAATACTCCGACTGTCTTACCAGTAAGCTTTACATTCATGTCACAAATATTTATTTCTAACAAATTGATTGTTTTATCGTTCATTACCACTTAATTTATATAAGGGGAAAGGTGGCCTAGTGGTTAAGTTGTCTGCCTCTCAACCCAGAGATCATGGGTTGTTCTTCCTGGGGTCACGACCATCTTTCCTCATATGACACCAGTGCTGGTTGGTTCCAGGAAGCAGACTCAAATGATTGATATAAGTTGCAAGAACTTGTTTCGCAATAGGGCTTAAATAAATACCCAGTGTATGTTTCAACCAATTTATATAATGGTTTTGTCCTGATCTGCAATTATAGTTTGAGTATACAACATTAACAGTACACAGCCTTAACAGATTTTAGATTTGCAGGTATCACATTGTAATATTTAGAATCAAAACATTATTATATACCTTATGTTTTAAGATATTATCAATATAATTGAAGAAGGAACCTAAAATATTTTACACATGTATATGTCTTGTTTATGAATTGTTGAACATAAATAGGCATAAAGATTTTTGACAGGTTATATGGTTATATAACGAATTTATAATACAGCAAACTTCCTGTTTTAGAAAAAAAAAGATTTGTTCATAAATTGACAGCAGCTGTGTATATAAAACTACAAATGTATATAAACGTCATAATTATCCAATGAAAAGCGATGTTACAAATGTGAAGTTTTATAATAGATTTTTATATCTTTATGTGGGATATAAATGCCCTATCAGAATGTAATATATAGTGTTATAAACTATGTTTGAGTTAAAAGCCATGTTTATTATCATTCCAGGCTTCCCCTACAGTAAGACCTGGTATGAGTCCAAGGCCGGGATTCCAGTCACCTCAACGTAATGCAGGAGCTTCTCCTGGACCTCATGTGTCACCAAGAACTCCAGCGTTGAAGTCTGCTAGTAGACTTACCCCTGCCAGACCAGTTGGAAGTCCCAAAACACCAGCTTTAAAGACTGCAGTGGCATCACCTAGACCAAGTACCTCTAAAGGTACTCCACCTATAGTACGAATAGGACCAGACAGAAATACACCTGCCAGGTAAATATTTTATATGTAATGTTCGGGTGCTGGTTTATATTATGGTGGCTATTGGAATGCTATTTGGTTCATATTTAAACTTTGGTCCATACCATATTGTTTGTTATACACCTTTAAAAAAGTTTTTTTTTTTTTTGTTAATTGATAATACATGCAAAATACTGAGGATAAAGAATAAAAATGAGTTTCCATATATTATTTTATAACAGTTAATATGTTTAGTTTAAAAAGATTGATTGGGATAAAAGCTTGAAGCTTACTTTCAAACATTCATGATTCCTTTTTATGCCCCCACAATGTGGGAGCATATAGCGTTGCACTTGTCCGTCCGTCCGTCCGTCAGTCAGTCCGTCCGTACGTCCCGAAATCTTGTGAACGCAACTCCTCTTAAACCGGATGGCAGATTTTGCTTAAACTTACAGGGATGAACAACCTTAATGTGTCGATGGTAGTAAAGGAAGGAATTTTTGCTGCTACCAAATTTAACAGAATTATGGCCCTTTGTTGATTTTTTCACTAGATACTATGTAGAAATTTTGTGAACGCAACTCCTCTTAAATTGGATGGCAGATTTTGATTAAACTTACAGGGATGAACAACCTTAATGTGTAGATGGTAGTAAAGGAAGGAATTTTCGCTGTGACCAAATTTTACAGAATTATGGCCCTTTGTTGATTTTTTCACTAGATACTATGTAGAAATTTTGTGAACGCAACTCCTCTTAAACCGGATGGCAGATTTTGCTTAAACTTACAGGGATGAACAACCTTAATGTGTAGATGGCAGTAAAGGAAGGAATTTTCGCTGCGACCAAATTTTACAGAATTATGGCCCTTTGTTGATTTTTTCACTATATACTATGTAGAAATTTTGTGAACGCAACTCCTCTTAAACCGGATGGCAGATTTTGCTTAAACTTACAGGGATGAACAACCTTAAGGTGTAGATGGTAGTAAAGGAAGGAATTTTTGCTGCGACCAAATTTTACAGAATTATGGCCCTTTGTTGATTTTTTCACTTTATACTATGTAGAAATTTTGTGAACGCAACTCCTCTTAAACCGGATGGCAGATTTTGCTTAAACTTCCAGGGATGAACAACCTTAATGTGTAGATGGTAGTAAAGGAAGGAATTTTTGCTGCGACCAAATTTTACAGAATTATGGCCCTTTGTTGATTTTTTCACTTTATACTATGTAGAAATTTTGTGAACGCAACTCCTCTTAAACCAAATGGCAGATTTTGCTTAAACTTCCAGGGATTTACAACCTTAATGTGTAGATCGTAGTAAAGGAAGGATATTTTGCTGCGACCAAATTTAACAGAATTATGGCCGTTTGTTGATTTTTAGTTTTCAACTTGTGGCACATGTAGTCCAAAAAATATTTGACCTAGAGTCATAAGATTGACAGAACAGTGGCGTGTGGGGGCATCAGTGTCCTATGGACACATTTCTAGTTATGGAACTCAACTGCACTGGTTAAGGAAAGACCAAGGGAAAATAAGGTCATAATCCTAGGTTGAGGAAAGACAATGAGGAAACCCCAGTAGAACTCAAACCCATAACTTCTGGTTGAGAGGCAGACATTTCTTTTCCATTTCTGAGGTTCATCCATGTTTGGACACTGATTAAAATTTTATGTGCAACTATCAATAAAACTTGAAAACATTTATTAAAAAATATTTGCTTGTAACTTCTTCTTCATGTCTTTGAGGTCAATGCCTGTGTGGTAATTTGGTCCTTGTGATTATTTGGGAGATCGTTAAATTGTTATCTTCATGCATGAAAGTACATGTGATTAACTATAAAGAGGATTGTTATAGATATGTTATTGTTACATTAGTCAACAGTCTATTAATATTTGTGGCTGAAAACATATAATATATATATAAATTTTATATACATGTATTTCAGACGCACACCACTTGCAACTATAGCAGTGTTGAATTCTATGAGACATACACCTAGTGCAGGTGATGCTGTTGTTAAGGTGAGTACTTGTGACTGAATATAAAACATTGTCAGTACTTCAGTTGTAATATACAGGTTGGTCATAAACATCTTACACTGGCTGACGGTACAGATCGGATTATCGAGCTTGAGGCGGCAGAAATGAGGCTCTGCCGAGTTTCTGCTAAACAGTTTCTCGAGAGCTAGATATTCCCGTCTTTACCGACAGCCGGTGTTTGATTCTTTTTCTTGCATATTACATATCAATTATTTGCAGATCAGAAGTAAAGAAAACTGATATTTTCATAACGCACTTTTTTCTTATGCTAGATATGCAAATTAGTACATGTTCTGATTACAGGTGTGGCAACAAGTACATGTACAAATGTATACTGTATAAACACAAATATTTTGAGCATCATCAAACAAGTTTTAAAAGGTTTAATTTTTAACCCAAACAGAATAAATGATCAGTAAAACGTATTGGCTGCATTTTGGAACATTTCAAAAGATTTTTTTTAAAGTTTAAAGTTTATATGCATTAGTAGGCTGGAGGAAAAAAATTATGACTGACATATTTATTTCTGTAAATGAAAATTTTTCTTGTTTCTGTTTTGCAGAATACACCAATTAAACCTACAGAAGAAACAAAGGATGCTGGTTCTCCTAAATCGGGAAAAACTCCTAGTAAAAATATGCGCTCGCGACGGGCCATTAGTACCCCGTCGGCTTACCATATTAATATAACATTTGACGAGGAAGCAAATATGACGTTCTTGCCACCATCTCCTATAGCAGAGACCAGTTCTGATCATTTGTTGTTTGACTCTGATGCTAGTATGTAGGGTTGTACTGGGTTCAAGCAATATGTTACATGTATATAATTATATTTATGTATGTTATAACAGTATGGTACTGCAATTTCTTCCCAGGCAATATAATGTCACTTTATTTTCCTTGACAGTATGGTATTGCAATATGTTTCATACTAAAGGATTAAGGTGAATCTTTTGAAATCTCACAGGCAATAGTCAATGTCATTAGTGCAGAGCCAGACCAGTGTGCACAAGAAATAAGACCAAACCAGACCCAACACATACTTTGCTTCATTAATAGTTATTATACAGTTATTGACTAGTGTGCCATTGAATATGATGTGATATTCACCGGCAGATGACATATTGACCAAGACGATAGCCGAGTGAATATCACCATTATATTCAATGGCACACTTGTCAATAATTGTTTTATTATATGAAAAGGCTATAAGAATTAAAGAAAAAGACAAAAAGTACAACTTTAAACATGTACAACTTATGCCTGTTTTGTTGAAGCACAGGAAAAAAGACGACGTGAAAGGCTGCAACAACTACTCGAACGCTGCACATACAAAAATAATTCAAGTTATATACATCATTGTGGTGTAACCTTTAATTATAACTGTAAAGTAATGATATTTTAATCGAGAAATATACCTTAAAGAACAAATATTCAACAATTGTTTTTAATAAGCACACATTAACTGTCTACATATGGTCATTGAATATAAGTCTCAATCTATTTTTAGACTGGTAAAAATCCAATTCAGCCAGTAAATACGATACTACACTTAGTGAATATGATTCTATAAAAAGTTCTGATGACAACTATTTGGACCAATGAGATCGAGCTATATTTAGATCATATAATAATATTATTTAAGTTAAGTACAGGTATGCCAAAAGAAATACTGGGGACCATTTGCAGATTATTACATCAAATATCATTTCAATATAAATCAAGAAAATAATAGTTGTTGTGATGTTGTTTTTTTACATGATATATTCATAATGTTTAAAAAAAATTCACATTGTGAATTAAAAAAAAAAAATTCTCCTATCATTGCTGTAAACAAATATTTCATTATTACAATGGTTTTATATTTAAACACCTGTAATAAAGTCCTTATTGGATTGTCCTGTTGCTGAAGTGAAAGCCCCACTACATTGCCAGATTTTTAGAGCAATGTCTTTGTTTATTTGTTGTTTATTTGATAGCTATCTTGTTTGCTACATTGTATGTATTAATGTTATATTAGCACATTTGTATTGCTTTATATTTATGTCATGTTTGGAATATATATTATTTATAGCAATAGTATTTTCTTTTATTTTTCAAATATAGTTCTCTAAGTTACCCTGTAAAATTGAAAGGTCCACAGTAGAAAACGACAATAGCATAGTGTTACACTGTTATTTAAGTTGTTTGAGAAATCTTTCTACAACTTACAAATCCAAGATATTTTATGCTCCTTTACTGTGTGGCTGTCCATCTTCCATGTCCGTTGGTCCTGAAGTTTTGCCAAACTGACTTGAATGTTAGTATGAACTTGACCTTTTATTTACCACTGTCAAGGCCAAGTTAAATTTTTTTTGAATGTGTGTAATATATGCCAAACTCAGACATTGAATTATTCAAGTATGACATTGACCTTTACACACAAGAAAAACATTTTATAGAAATTTGTTTGAATTACTATAAGACTGATTGTTTTCTTAACCATCAATGTCAAATTATTGAATTTTCATATTGGCCATGACTTTTTAATTTGGACTTAATTGATTCAGTATTTACAACATAACAATAACGGGGAAAAACGACACGTGGAATGAATGATTCAAAAAGACCTTCACCTTAACATGAATGAAATATGAAATGACGCTTTGGAAAACTTTTAACCTCAGTTCCATCAAAATCCCTGATCGATAACTTACAATGAATAAAAACTTGTATTCAAAGGTTTAACTTTGATTTTAATTTCAAATGACTATCAAAATCGAGATTAATAGAAAGTGTCGTCTTTAAATTATCAAGCTTTAACTAACTCGTATAAAGATTAGGGCCTTGGCTCTACCTAACGTATGCGGGAACCTTGTTTGACGTGATTCCATCTGGATTATCGGTGTATGGATTCGCTGATGACCATACTGCAACCAAACGTTTTAAACCGACTGAAGAAAATAGTGAAATTTCTGCAATCGCTGAATTAGAAAATGGTGCGATTGATATCAACAACTGGATGAACGCTAATAAACTCAAGATGAACTCATCGAAAACAGAATTCATAACATTTGGAAGTTCTCAACAACTCGAAAAGTGTCACCTAAAATCCATTTGTATTAACGGAGATAAGATCAACTCCGAGGAGTCCATTAGATATTTAGGCGCATTTCTAGACCAAACACTAAATTTCAAGGAACATGTCAAACGAAAGTGCCGTACTGCAATGTTAAACTATCTTAGAATAAAACGTATCCGAAAATACCTCACCAAAGAAGCAGCTGAAATACTAGTTATAGCACTCGTAATGTCACACTTGGATTATTGCAATGTCATTCTTTATGGTGTATCCGATTTTGAATTGAAAAAAATTCAACGTATTCAAAACATGTGCGCTAAGTTGGTTCTGCAACGAAAGAAATTTGACAGTTCAAGGCAAGCACTGTTCGACCTTCACTGGCTGCCCATCAAATCTAGAATCGAATATAAAATTTTGACTTTTGTATACAATTGTTCAATCGGTCATGCTCCAAAATACCTTTCTGAACTCCTAACCAAACAAGTACCAAATACCCGACTACGTTCAGCTAAAACCTCTGAGAACTGCTACGTTATTCCATTCAATAAAAGAAAAACATTTAGTGACAGAAGTTTCGGAACTATTGGTCCAAAATTGTGGAATCCGCTGCCATTAGAGTTGAAACAATCTAAGAATATTGATGTATTTAAGAGAAATCTTAAAACACATTTTTTCAGAAAGTTTGAATCACTATTTTAAAATCTGAAATGAGATAAACATGAGTAACGTATAACTTATGACTGACAGTGTGATGAATGTGCAATATAAATGAATGTTTTATTCTTTTTAATCTATTTGTAATCAAGTTACATGTGTGTAAATAATCTTATCTCATGCTACATGTATATCAGTTTTATCATTTTATGGTCTCTGCAATTTTTTAAAAATATGTTAATTGGAATTGTATGTAAAAGCTTTTATTTCATTTGATGTTGATCCACATATTCTTATGCATTCACAGTTTTATTCTTATTATTTATATGTACTGTACAACGCCGTTGAATTTTGTTAAATAGAAACAGGCGTTTAATTAAATAAAAAGTTTCAAGTTTCAATTAATTAATTTGTCTTCTGGAATTTGACTCGAACACTTTAAGTTTAAAAATAATTTTCTGTTCTTAAAATGGTTGTCAAAATAACATTTCAATAGTATCACATGATTTGACGCCCACGTGTTAACAGTCATCAGTAACATATAACAGCCTGAGCTTGGTACGTATTATGATGTTGCAATGTCCCAAAACCAATGCACGATAGGTTTAGGCAAACTATTAGGGATATGTAGAGTTTGTATGAGGGTATAATAAATCACGCAAAATTTGAATGGTCCTCTGGAAAAGTAGAAGAAATTTAAACTTTTGCGACTGCCTCTGGTACAATATACAGATGGACGGTTGCTGTAGTACATTAAACAATAAAAAACCAGAAGGTTTAACTGAAATTTACAATTTTTACAATTTAAGGGGCATTACTATGTTTAGACATGTTATATTTCTGCTATTGATTACGTCCCTTGCAACATAATATATCTGTCGCATTAAAAGGTCAACTATCGGTCACAATACAGTCATGTACAATCATTTTCAGATGCTTTAACTGCAAAAATTTGTGTGTTACAGGAGTAAAAAGGTATGTGCATATAAATTTCTTACATACATGTATTTAAATTACAAATATACCGATATTTGTCGTGTACCTGTTTATTATCTGTGTTTAATATGATATTTAATGTAAAGAATGATGCATTTTTATGGCACAGGTAAATTGTAAGCTTTTTATCAGTTTACGAATAACGCTGTAAAGAATGCAGAATACACTGTTATCGTCTGAAAGGGATAAAACATATTTCATTCTAATGTCGGGACACGGTTGTCGTTTTGTTGTTTGTAGGCAGTTAAATTATATAAAAACAGCTTTTAAGCAGCATGTTTAAATTTTTCACTGACATAAACAACGTTTTGTATCCCCACCCGCTCATATCGATTGAATGTAAAATATGCGTCACTATGTCTACTAAACAAGGTCAAATCTATGTCGTCCAGTTAATTATAGACTGAATGCAAATTTTTAACAATTACTACGAATCATACATAGCATCGGAAATAAAGCAATATCAGTTGAAGTTTAACAGATAGCATTGTTAATTTGATTTAATACAGATTTTAATGATAAACTTGTTATTATGTTACATTTCTCTCCATGTTTAAATAATAGTTTTATATCTATCAGCAATGCTTAATCAAATACTAACTACATCTCGCATTTATTTCATATATGAGCCGCATCACGACAAAACCAACATAATGGGTTTGCGACCAGCATGGATCCAGACCAGCCTGCACATCCGCGCAGTCTGATCAGGATCCATGCTGTTCGCTTACAAACCCTATTACAAGTAGAGAAACTGATAGCGAACAGCATGGATCCTGATCAGACTGCGCGGATGTGCAGGCTGGTCTGGACAAACGCACTATGTTGGTTTTGTCGTGACGCGGCTCATATTTTGCTCATTTGCAAATCATGAGTTGACGAACTTTGTTCGTTCTCCATTGTTGTCCACACCACAATTTTTAATTATATCTCGTAAGTCACGTGGATTTTTACTTTTAAACTTCTCAGGAATGACTTTTTTAAATGAGATCTTTTAAACCTCCCTAAAAGAAGATGGACTTCTTGAAGTCGCCCGAGGTGTTCCGATTGGTATACCGGATGGATAATTTCATTTTACAAATTTAAGGCAGCACGCCTACAGATTCATGCTAATTTTCACGAACATTTTGAAAATGTATTGAAAAGTAAAATATTGTGAAGTGAACAAAGAAAATATTTTTCACATTGCAAACGGCACTTACTACCCATGTAAATTAAGGAATGGAAGTCAATGTATGCAAAAATTGCCCTAACGCAGTAAGAATAGGGTGAAAACATACTGCATAATCGGTAATAATTGGCACATGACACGGAAATTATTAATTTTATCTTGAACTTTTTAACTTTTCTTAAAATAGCAGTACATTTTCTTAAGTTTTGATTTTCTTGAAATAGTTTGGCTCATCTGGAGGCGTACAGCTTTAAAACGTCACGTCCAGATGAGCAAACAGATTTCAATATTAAAAAAGCTTAATTAATGAAAAATAAATAACGAAAAGACACTTGCTAATGCACAATTATGACAGGATGTACAGTTCTTATATATAACTATATTTTCAGATTAAAAATAATCATTGTATAGGTTTAAAGCATGCTCTCTTAATTTTAATTCTTATTTTCAGATAGCAGTTAACAGCGAATATATAAAGATGGAAACTGTTCTAGAAAATTTGGATTTTTTTACCGATGACGTCAGCGACTTTAAAAATGATCTTCAACGAAAACTTACTGTAGTCGGGCAGTCACGTGATCAGGAAAGAAGCAAAATAACTCGAACAACTGAGTCAATGAAGTTAGCTATTAAAAAAGCAGAAGATAAACTTTTAACAGAAAATGCCGAATTGTTCACTGCCTATGAACATAATTTACGAAAAAGTATCGAAACAATATCACAACTTGAGAAGGAAATTACTTCCGTTCGTTCCCAAGTAGATAATTGTCTTACTTCCGGTACAGCTGTTGGATCGTCTGATGACAGAATGATTTATAACAAGTTTGATTCTCTGCAGAATCGTTTAGCTAGTCTCCAGAAGGGTGCGGTGCAGCCTGTTTTTCAACCTTGTGAAGAGGATTTGGTGATTGTTAAGAATATTGATGTGGGGAAATTTGAGGTGTCGGATGCGAACATTGCGCCACCTATAATTGGGTTTCCTACTAAACGCACCGTAGACATGTATTCTTGCTTCATTACTGGATTTCTTTGGTTCAATCACATGTTTGTCGTGTCGGACAAAACAAATAAGAAGGTGAAATACTTTACAGAACACGGCGACTTTCTCTGCGAATTACTGTTTACCGACGCATCGCCATACGGAATTTGTCATATGAAGGACACTTGGGTAGCCATTGCTTTGCCGAAAGTCAGACAGATTTACATTGCACGATTAAACAACATGAAAGCAGAAATACTCAACAATTTTCGAACTGATGTAGGTTATGCCGGTTTAGGTAAAGGGCATGACGGGAATTCTTTGATTGCAAGTATGGCGTCAAATACGCCGGCTGAATCACACGTTGATATTATTGATTTCAGAGGAGAAGTTTTGATGACTTTTAAAAACGACCCGCAACTTCCGGCACCTATCTTTAACTTTCCAAGGTATGTAGAAGCATTTCAAGGAGCGCTCATCATATCTGACTGGAGAAAAGATTGCGTCATTTTCTTGCACGCAGCAAGTGGAAGTGTTCTAAAGGAATATCGCGGAACGAAAGAAAGTCCTCTGATAAACCCGTATGACATTAGCTTGGATAAGCTGGGGAATGTTTATGTTCTAAACGGTAAAGACGGCACTGTCCATGTTGTTGATACGCAATGTAATCTGACTGACGTCATTAGGGAGACGTCAGAGTTGCTAAACCCTAGACTTTTAGCCTACAACGACGAAGCTGGACTCTTAGCAGTCACGTATGGAGCTGGTGATATAAAAACGTATTATCACCGCGTACCTCTGCCGGAGACAGCAAAACCTTCTATCCCGTCACATGATACCCCAGCGTCACATCATACCCCGACGTCACATCATACCCCGGCTTTTCTTTCCCCTCCAATTCCGAACGCAACTGCACGAAGTCCATCACCGGCATTTTAAAATGATATAAGAATAATTACATTCTATGGAAAACAATGCAAGCAGAGTGAATACTATGACGCTGAATATTACGGTTAATATTCATGTAAATTGAATGTTGATTTTATATTTAACAGTTTTTTTTTCACATGTGGACGGCAGCCTATTATAAACGTTATACGTTTAGGGCTACGGAAGGACATAATTACTATGGCACCTGTACTCAAATTAGTTGAAGGATCGGATTCATAAGCTATCTTTGTACATATGTATAACTATTATCATGACTATTATTATTGTAATTCAGCTTAGTTAATCTTTAAATATATTCCTAACATGTATATTGTATTATGTTGAATCTGGAGTCATGTACGAGGTATAAGAGGAATGCAGAAACTGGCTATACCTGTGCACTGATTTTTACCATTAGTAGAATGAACTCAAATTGGGACAATGTCGAATTCAACAAACGTCCTGATATCAACTTTTGTTTTGATGTGACTCTATCGTTTAAACCGTTAGGAAGTTCTTTGGTGTCGTATTGAACACGACAGTTACACATCCTCATCTTTTAACTGGAGACGATGGTCCATTTTGCATAGCTTGCCAAGAGCATATTACTGCCAAATATTTCATGAAAGAGTTTATAAGAGAACTTTTTTGTCTCAGTTCCATCAAAAACCTGATTGATTACTTACAAAAAATAAACCTGTATTCAAATTTCATTTCTAATAACGTATAAAAGTATAGACTGATAAAATGTGCCGTTTTGGTGTTTTACATTATTAAGCTTTAATTAACTCATTTTGATAAATTTGTCCTCTAAAATATGACTGCACATTTCAAGCTTAAAAAATATTCTGAATTTAAAAGAACGAACTGACCTGATCTAGTTAAAAATTATAATAATACTAGATGATTTGACACCCATACATACTGAACGTTGTGTTTAACATCCATCAGTTATATGTGGAGCGATCCTTAGATTGCTGAACAATAGTTCCAAAAAGTGTGTAACATCCTATAGACTCTTAAAAATGCCGTCCCGTAGATTGTATTTAGCTTTGAATCTATTACACGCCTTACTTAACGCACTGGTGCTATTAGTGGATTTAATACCAACCTTCTGTAAGAGGAAAGGGGATTAGTTCATGGCCACATATTTAGGATTTTGCTAGCATGCTTAAAGATCCTGTAACACATTTTTATGGTTTTATATCATAATTGTATCATAGTTTGGGGACCTTTGTGTTGAAAAAGTGTCATAGTTAAATCGTATACATATACATGCACAGTGCGGTAACTGGAGTGCGGGTATCAGTTACCCGCACTCCAGATAATGCCCGTTGATTGGTTCATTTTTGCTGGGGTTTACATATTGTGACGGCAGAGAAAGGGAAAGGGGCAGAAATATCATATTCAAATGCTCGTTCATTGGTTAATTTTTTCTGGGGTTTCATATTATGACAACAGGGAACGTGCTGTCATGTTTGACTATGATACAAAAGAGAAAGAACACCAAAACACTCGGCAATCTGATTTATACTCGGGGGGGGGGGGGGCTACGCCCCCTCGTACAAATCAGATAGCCTCGTGTTTCGGTGCTCTTTCTATTACTTATAATTCTCAAATGAAGATTTATCAATATTGTAAGTTCCAAAAAGCATTATTTGTAAAGTTATTTCATGTTAGAAAAGGGAGGTAATTTGAAATTTATTTTCTATAAAGTCTAAGTCAAATTTTTCAATATAAAATATATTTTTATAAATTTATTTTAAAGACTTCATATAATGTAGACAAATAATTACAGTACATATTTTACATATTCTTCGATGTTGGAAAATTGTTTTAAAAGCATTATTACATTTGTATTTACATATATAAAACATCATCATCATCATCTTCAGTAATCGCCTCACTCTTCATAGAGCATAATCGCGATAAAACTAAAACAATGTACATGTGCAGCAATTGGGTTCCTCTTTACAGTTAAAATTTGTCTATTTACATCTTCTTAAAAACTGGCAATGTGTCTAGTTGGTGGTAGTGTGTTTCATCAGCGCCGACTTGTACCCCTCCAAGGTTGGTTGCTTAAATGCAACAACTTGTATGGGTAGGCGATTCCAGAGGATGATGGTGGCCTGGAAGAAGCTGTTCTGGTACACAGATTTCCTACATGTGAGCCGGCTAAGTTGTTGTTGGTTGCCTCTTGATGTTCTTGCATTACGTAGCGGATTGGTTCTACCCCGTGGATCATTCATTTTCATCATGTACATATACAAAAAAAATCTTTAAAAAACCTTTTCTGGAGGTACATGGTGTAGGGCCCTGCTAAAATATAACTACTTCTGTTATATAAATGCGGTGGCATAGCATTTTTTTTCTCAAATGCAATCTTGTTGTTATAAACATACTTATAACTTTGGAAATGTTTTCATTCATTCCATGTTTTAATGTAGTTTTTACGCTGTTCTATTTCAGAATAGGCAGTTAAAGGCAATTAACCAGTGAATCCATTTATTCAGGTTGTATTTGGTTGTGACTGGGTGTTTATTTCCAGGATGCTGTCAACAACACCTGATGACTATGGAACACTGGTAGACACTTTTGCTATAATTAAACTAGAGCATTATTTGTGAGTTACTTTTGTGTCAAATATGCAAAGGTAAGTCCATATAATGGTCTGATGGGGCCATAGTTTAGTTATAAACGTCAAAATTTTAGCCCTAAAATATCTTTTATGAAACCTTAAACTCCTTATTCTAACCCTTAAACTTCTTAAATATTGCCTTAAAATTTGTCCTTATTTTTCGTCAGAAGGTGCTGGACAGCCTGATTGAACTGTAAACACCTTCCAACCGACTGACCTTTTCAGTGCAACTTGTGAATGTGTACTACGTAAATTGCTGTTTAAACGCTAAGTGACTGTATACTTTGAGATTTGTTTGATGACCATTATATATAAGTGTATATTCTCAGACAGTCTCCTTTGGGAAAATGTATTTGTACAGTACTGTAGAACATGTTTGTAAATAAAAGTATATGTCTGTTGAAAAAAATGTACCAGTACAATAATTTTTCACCTAATGTAACAAAAGCCTGTAGAAGGCCTCTTTACAATTGTTTCCGCAAACATCTGAACTTACTGCGGGTTTTTACTTGCAAAATTGGCAATTTTACCAATAATTTTTTACCTAAATCAAGAGATTAATATCTCTTCCCAATTAAATGAGAAAACCCATGCAATAAATTCTTAAAGTAATTAAAAAACATTTTTTTGGATATATTTTAGATCTAAAATACCATTATATAATGGTAAAAAAGAATTCCACCATGCAAGATCTTTTTTAACTTGTGACGGAATTTCAAAACCAAGCAATTGAGATTTATCTGTATACAAATCACGTAACCAATTTAATATTCTTGACACCATAACTCGACTTTGTCTAACACATGAACCAATGAATTGTAATTTTCCTAACAAAGACTGAACTTCCTTTAAAGTGGCATACTTTTTATCTAACCACAACTTGATCAAGTCCCTAATTTCAACCAGCCTTTCATCAGTAACTCCAATAGTAAGATCATTACTATTAAATAATATCCCTAAAAAAGTCATAATTTGGGAAGGAGGATTACTTTTCTTTATTGATTCTTCAATTCCACATTTCTGCAATAAAACCGCTAGAGTATTATATGCAAACCAAGCATCTTTGGAATTTTCAGCGCCTGCCAGATCATCTAGATATAATTTAAAATAGGTATTCCCATCCTAAACATCATATATGCAATTGCATTAGTCACTCTCTGACAAATCTGAGCAGATGATCTACAACCCATAGTCAAAACAGTATCACAAAAAACGTGTTTTTGCCATACATAAGCTACCAAATTATAATTGGAAGGACAAATACTTATTTGTCTATAAGCTCTAGATAAATCTTTTTTATACATCAAGGCACCTTTACCTTTTGCCAATACTAGTTTAACAAAAATCATCAATCTTAGGAAATACCAAAGAAATAGGATCACCCAAATAACTATCCTTTGGCACATAATCATTTACTGCACATTTTTGTAACACTGCTTAAATCTAGTATAACCCTTCTATCCTCAATTGTCTGTTTTGGGACTGAATTTAAGGGGGAAATAAGCAAATTTGAACTAAAGGGATTCTTTTTAAATGGACCAATAATAGCATTACACTCTAGTTCTTTTCGTAAATAACTAGTTATCTGATCTGGAAATTCTTCGGCACCCTTGTAATTTTTATACTGCCAAATTTCTTTAGTAGAAGGCAATATTTGTTCATTCCCTTCAAAACCTATTGGGAAACCAAATTCTAATAAGTCACAAACACCTAAATCACTGTAGTTAAAATGTGATAAAATTTGACGCATGAAACATGTATTGATCTTTTTATTAACTGGAATCCTGCAACCTTCAAAGTTATATTTCCCTGATCTTTTTAACCAGTTCATGAATTCTAACCAAATTAACTGTTTCATTAGAAAACTCTGATGGATTTAAAACTTTACTTACCCTACAATATGTGGAATAGGAACACAATAAGGACCTAACGGGCTTATCAACCTGACAAATATTGTTGTAAACAGACTCTTCATTATCTCCCTTATAACTATTACTTTCGAAAAACAAAAGCTTCGTAAAAAAATTGTCAACAATATCATTGTCTTTATCAAATAATGGTAACTGTGACCACAGTCAAACTGACCCAGAATATGGACATGAAGATGAGCATTCTGGATGTTCTAACCTTTTCTTATCTTTTGACCAACAAGCAGCGCAAATATGCTGTGCCAAACGCAATCTTTCCACGAAAAACTAAAGAATGAGGACCTTTATGAGCACATTTATTTTTTTGATAAAAGGAACAAAACCAAACCGTTTTTTCCTCATCAACTTCTGGTGAAGTTCTTTGTCGGACACGAAAGTTCGAAAACCCTGCTCGTCGAAGTCACTGGAGGATTGGGCTTGTTCAAAATGCATGTTTCTAAATAGTGAAAATCATCCCCCCATGTCTTTTTCACCTAATTCGACTTCCCTCAAAACTGCAGCATAGAAAGAACGTAATATCTGAAAAACTAAAATGAGAATTTAAGTACATAAATACGTTTCAATAAACACAAACGACCTTTCTTTTCTGTATTATCTATCTGTGGATCTAAAATAATCTCTAACTCCCCGGCTACAAATAAATTGAATGGTAGATCTTCAAAGGCAATATTTTGACTGACATATTCATAACGTAATTGAGAATGTGGATATTTTTGAGAGTTTTTAACAGTATCTGCAGATTTAGCCTTTGATTCCTGATGTTTTTCGTGCTAAGACGGTTTCTCTTCTTTCTTACCAGACGAAACTTCTAACAGCAGAACAACACTTGTCTCACTATCACTTTCAATATTTGACAAATCAGACTCCGAGTCAGACTCAGAATTTAACAAGCCTAATTTCTTTAAATGGCTTTGTACCAATTTATTCAAATCCGGCATTTGACGTAAAACTATTTATGTCCAACTTATCATCACTAGACTCTGTACTTAAATGTTCATCTTTGACTTTATTATTTGACAAAAAGGCAGCAGGTTTAGAGGAAAGACCCTTACCCTTTTTCAAAGAACGAACTCGTCTTTGTTTTTTCTTCTAACTGCATTCGCAATTCATCCTTCTTACGTTCTTGCAACAAACGTTTTTCTTGGGCATCCAATTCCTGG